GCTGAGCAGGGAGCCGGATGTGGGGCTCGATCCCAGGACCCTGGGACCATGACCTGAGCTGAAGGCAGACGCTCAACTGACTGAGCCACCCAGGCACCCCAATTTAAACACAATTCTAAAACAAAAAAAAAAAAGTTAGTGGATCCAGCCTCTAAAGACCCTGAAATAATTTTTATTCACCCATAAACCATCTTTAGTGTTTCTTTCTCTTTTCTTGCTTTTCAGATTTTATATATGAAACAGTGTTTACCAGTACAAGGTAAAATAGAATACCTCTCAGGTGGACTGTACTGTTTATCACTGATATCTAATCAAAACTTCAACATTACCCCCTTTTGAAACTACAAAAAAAGCGGGGGGGCACCTGGGTGGCTCAGTCACAGTTAAGTATCTGCCCTTGGTTCAGTTCATCATCCCAGGATCCAGGGATCAAGCCCCGTTGGAGGGCTCCCTCTCCTTCTCCCTCTGCTTGCCACTCCCCCTGCTTGTGCTCTCTCTCTGTCAAATAAATAAAATCAAGAGGAAAAAAAAGAAAGAAAACCACAGGAAAAAAATGGCTGTTCAGGTATGTGCTATAAACTTTTTTTTTTTTTTTTTTTTTTTTTACCTTACTCTAGGATTTTACCTTACTGTACGGGCAAACATGGCATTCACATTCACGATACGCAATCACAACATGAAACTATTTTAGTTCTAATGTCGGCAATGACCTATCACTTAGTTTTAATGTTATTAGGTATGATGTTGTTGGTGTGCTGAAGAGAAAGGATTTTTAGGACTTAAATGTCCACGAGAATTAAACTAAGAAAGAAATCATTACTTCAGTAAAGACTGGTATGTTAGAAATAGAAAAAAATTCAAGAGGTTTAGAAAGCTAAAAACTATGTGAAAAGATGAAATGCAGCAAAAAAAAAAAAAAAGCAGTTCATCATTTTATACAGTATTTCGCTATTTAGTCTCTTGGGTTTAACAAAACCACCTCCAAAATTTAGTTCTACTATAATTTCTTTTTTAAAATTTATTTATTTGAGAGAGAGAGAGAGTGTGTGTGTACAGGGCACGGGGTAGGGGAAGAGGAGCAGAAGGAGAAGAGAGAGAACATCAAGCAGACTCCCTGCTGAGTGTGGAGTCCCACGCGGGGCTCGATCCACGACCCCGCGATCATGCCCTGAGCTGAAATCAAGAGGCAAATGCTTAACCAACTGAGCCATCCAGGTACCCCCTACTTCTACCATAATTTCTTGATGCCTCTGCCCACCTCCCACCCAACTTCGCAAGCAAAATCTCATGACTGATCACGTTAAACAAATGACGACCTAATCCTTTATTTCACTATCCCATCTCAGTCTGATTAAAAGCAATTGTAATAAAAAATAAAACAGTCATTCTCACCAGGTAAGGTACTTTGAAGGAGAGTCCAATAAAAAATTACTTTACAAAAGTACTCAATTCAAGGACAGGCTTTAGGAAGTTGTGTTATTTCTTTGCTTTTAATAGCAGTAACGTGTATAAATTCTGAAATCCATCATGTGATCTGTGTGTGTACAGCTACTATGCCCACTAATTAATGACGAAATTTTCCCTGAGCCCACAGCTTTAGATTCCAGGTCAATTTTTTTTATTATAAAGCCTGACAAGTGATACACCTCTTTTCATAATAACTAGGTAAAGAAGATCTCCTAAAAGTCTGAAGTAACAGTTATGCCAGGCCTTTACAAGTCAGGATAATTCCTAAAAAATTAAAAGATGTGACAGAAAGATGATCTTCACTACTGAAATAAAAGTTTAGGTACTTCTCTGAAGCTTAAAAAAAAAATCATCTCTAATAAAAAAAACTTTTTTTTTCCTGCAATACTTACCTGTAGTTTAGACTGAAGAGCCAGGTAAACACGAAGAATTTCTATGCTGCTACGTATTCGAACAGACGCTCTCTCTGGCTCAAAGTTTGGGTTGATTAAATCATTGAAGGGTTCATTTGTAACATCGTTTCCCAGCAAAGAATAGTAAAAGAAAAACTCAGCCTGTCTTTCTGGAAGTTTCATGGTACACGGAATTAACTAAACATTTAAGGAAAAAGAAAAGAGTATTAATGTGTGAACTACTATACATACTTATGCATGTCTGACGAATTGCAAGGTATTTGCTAAAATGCTGATTTTTTTATTTCTAAGTCTTAAAATTATTCACTCAAAATTTCTAAATCTCTGAAAAATTACAACCAAATGACTGGTTTAATTTTTCAAGGTTTACCTTAGAAAAGCCCAGAGACTACCATTATTTTTAGAGATTTCTGTTGTTTTCAAGTTTACTTTTCATTCAACTGATCCATGAACAAGTACATGAAAGTTCTTTTAGAAGACACTGGTCAAGTATTTTAAACTGAGCTTTATTTCCACATACCTTATTCCATCTTATTCTTACTCTGCCACCCTCTTCATAAGAGGAGGGTTTTATTTTTTTTTATTTATTTTTTTTAATTTTTTTTTTTTTTAAGATTTTACTTATTTGACAGAACGAGAGAGAAAGAGAGAGAGAGAGAGCACAAGCAGGGGGGAAGGGCACAGGCAGAGGGAGAAGCAGGCTCCCCGCTGAGCAGGGAGCCCGATGCGGGGCACCATCCCAGGACCCCGAGGCCATGACCTGAGCCGAAGGCAGACGCTTAACTGACGGAGCCACCCAGGGGCCCCAAGAATGGTATTTTAAAAGAATTTTCAGCTCAGCAGGGTATCTGATACTGTAAAACACCTGTTCCCAGATCCTCCAAGTGAGTCAAAGTTTTACTCAACTCCTCACTGTCTGCAAGTGGCTAGAGGTGGGCAAGAGCAAGGGAAGGGATTTCAGTACTACTTTTAGATCTCAGCTTTTTACTGAGCTGGATTTCTCTCTACATTTTAATTATGCTTCAAAAATCAAGGCATGTGATTTATAATGTTATAGTTTATTTAAACTTCTGTTGTTAAATTTAAAAAGATCACTCAAAAGAGGTCTTTTGTGTAAGACATATGAACTTCAGTTTTTCACTGTGGCATTGATAAATCCCAGGGCAGAAAAACAATACTCTTTTTAAAGTGCCAAACATTTGTAACATTCTCAGAAATCAGATTTGAAGCAAAAGTTAAAATATTTATCAAGTAGAACAACAGTCATTCCCAATGCAAGACAATGTAACGATACCTTAGAAATTTGACCTTGACTTACTTAAAAAAAAAAAAAAAAAAAA